AAAATCACAGGGGTGCTACTTAAAGAGGTAGGTTTTTGGAGGGAAGGATAGCCAGCGTCTCTTTGCAGGGTTCTTTCTTCCCATGGGAATCCAAGCCATCCTAAAACTTACAATCTCAAATAATTAGCAAATAACAAAGCACAAATACTCAAAAATATATTTACAGGAAATGAAGCCCCTTATATATCTAGTCCACATGGGTTCTGGAACTAGACAAAAGGAAAATGGCTCTGGTGGTTTATTTAAGGGGGTCCATCAAAGACAGGGATAAGGTTTCAAGGAGGAGTCTTTCTTTATGATGTCTTGCAGTCAGCAGGTTGACTGACATCTTGGCTGATCATATCCATCTCAGGTGCTGTGTGGGATCTTTGGCAGACCTTGAAGGAGAAGTTCACCTGCATCAGGTGGTCAATCCCTGTGGGGGGTGCCACAGGGAGTTCCCAATGCCACTTATCCCCTCAGGAGGCTACTGTGACAGTCCACACACAGCCCACAGGTGGCTGGTGATAGCAGGTTGCTGGGCCTTGCTCAAGAATTACTAAATCAGAATCCAGAGAGTGGGATTTAGAAATTTGCATTTATTAGAGCACCTAATGCACTCCCTTGACTTTGACCACTGTAGGCCTTATTTATATTCATCTTTGAGTGCCACTGTATCAGTTCTGCATGGCTATGTAATAAGTCATAATAGATTTATTGGCCTAAAACAATACAGATTTAGTATCTCATAGCTTTTGGAATTGAGGAAGCTGGCCATGATGTAGGTGTACCCTGTTTCAGGATCTCTTACAAGGGCTACAATGAAGGTATCATCTGGGAAAGGATTCATTTCTAAACCCATGTAGCTGTTGGCAGGATTCAGTTCCTAGAGGGCTATTGGATTGAGAGCCTCAGCTGCTTATTAGCTAATGGCTCTGGGGAACACTCTTTGTCTTGCCACATGGATCTGCCCAATGGCAGCTTACTTGACCAAAGTCAGCAAAGGGGATAATCCATTTATAAAATGCAAGTTACAATCTGGTTTGATGCAGTCATAAAAGTGGCATCCCATCATTGTTGCCATGCTCTAGTGGTTAGAAGCAAGTTACATGTTTCACTCATGCTTACAAAGAGGAAATTATCACAAAAGCAAGAGTAACTAGGAGAGGATCATGAGGGGCCATCTTGGAATCTGTTTTTAGAGTCAGTGGATGGTTGCAGGGCTGTTAGCCACTAAGTATCATCTCCAGGTGATTTAGGCAACATGAGAATGATTTCAGAATGAGAGAAATACTGTTACTGCTTTGTATTCTAGTCACAAGCAGGGGTTCAATATTCTAATTTAGCACACAAAATAAAATATGAGAATCCAGAAGGCACTATAAATTCCTGACAGTGCCACAAAGAAAGAAAGGAGATGACATTCTATTCAAAAGAGGCTCCTTCGATTTTACTAAAATATTTTTGGTCTTTGAAAATTTAAAATCCTGTATGATATATAACTTGACCATTTTGATGAAACAGAGTTCATTATTAGTTTTATAAAATTATAAGGTTGAAACTAATTATTTATTTAATCACTTATTCTATTTTATGCAGTGTGTGAACTTATTATTTGGATTTAAGGACAATAATATTCAAAGTAATATTTTAAGCAAGGCCTTGTGGCTTATGTTCATGGGCCACAACAACTAATTAAGATCTTGTAGAATTTATCTGCATTTAATGAACTTTGTTCAAGGTAAGGATGACTGACTAAGTCAACATTCTTTGAAAATATGTTTTGAACTATTCTGTAACATTGTTTTATTTCTGAAATTGTATATGTCTTCAACTTCATTGCCTATTCTACTGACATGCTCTGCTTCTTAATAAAAGGGTATATAAGCTGAGTGTGATGGCACACACCTCTAATCTCTGCTACTATGGAGGTTGAGGCAGGAGGATTGCAACTTTAAGCTATCCTCAACAATTTAGTGAGATCCTGTCTCAAAACTGAAAACTTTTAAAACAGCTGGATATGTAGATCAGTGGTACAGCACCCCTGAATTCAATCCTCAGTATACATATATTTTTTAAAAAAGGATATGTGAAAATCTTACCACTCCTAATCATTACATACATAGAAAGATTAGTAAGTAAATTCAACCCAAAAGAAATGAAAATCTGGCCACTCTTAGTCCATATGTACTTGGCAAATTCAGATAAGTTCAAACCAATAGACATTCAACCCAATAGATATTTAAAGGATCCGCTTTCTGTGAAATTTAATTTTCCAAATTTCCAGTTTAGCAAATTCAGAGTCAGAGAAAAGGTAATTAGTTCATGATCGTATGGATAAAATTAATGGAGCTGAACTCAAATATAAGCCATCTTACTCTGAGCTCAATGATCTTGTAGAAGAAGATACAAAAATAAGAGGGGGTTTATAATACAGATGTGGTCAAGAAACATGAAATCATACATAAAATAAATCAAGTCATAGATAAGAAAATATAATCCAATAACATTCTTGGCACTGACAATGAAGGCTTCTTAAGGTTTTCGTTAAAGAATTAAAATATTATTTAACATAAAGAAAATGAACACACTCCTGTAAAGGGAAGTTTCTAACATATTGAGTAATAGACTATCTACTTTTATTGAAAACTAATTACAGCCCAAAATTATAACCTTCAGGGAGGAAACATTCAATTTTTTGTTTCCATAATCTCTTCCCACTAAGTAAAAACGTTTCTATATTGAATTAGTAGGTTAGAGCTACCAGAGCAAAGTTCCACCAACTGAGTGTCTTAACCTGCACCAATGTATCATCTCCTGGTTTGGGAGGTCTGAAGCCCTACATCAAGTGTCTGCAGGTGGGTTTCTTCTGAAGACTGAGAAGAAGCACCTGTCCCAGGCCTCTCACACCTTCGGGTGGCTTGCTGGCCATCTGGCTTTCCTCGGCTTCTGCTGCATTCCCTCGTCTCTGTCTTTATTTTATCTTCACATGACGTTCTCATTCTCTTTGTGTGTCCCTAAATCACATCCTGTTTATAAGAACACCACTTATGTTGTTTTAGGGCCCCATACTACTGCAGGATAATCCCATCTTAACAAATTGTATCTGCAGCAACCACATCTCCAAGCATGGCCACATTTTGAAGTATGGGGGTTCGAGCTTCAACACAGGAATTTGGGAGCATACTATTGAGACATTTCAGAAGGAGGATGAATCAATGCACAGAGGAAAATTAGAATCAATATTCAAATTAACTGAAATAGTTTCATGAAATCTAACGCTATTTTTAAAATAAGTCTAGCACAGTTGGGCTCTACCAAGGCAATTACCTGTGGAGAGCATTTGTCATATCAGCAAATAAAAATAACTGTCCTGGGACTAGAAGAGGACTCAGCAGAGAGAGGAATATATGGTGAAACAAGAAAATTCTCTTTTGTGTTCAAAAATGCAAAGCTGACTTTTGGCACTTGAACGCTTCCTGAACTAAGCACTCATTGACCAAGCACTTGCACATCCTTGACAGATTTGGGGCACACAGTGGTTGACATGTCTCTGGCTAGTTCTGTCTCCTGGGTATCATCAGGTCCAGCTAGTGGTTCCATGAGATGCCACTCCTCCTCCTGTGAAATTCTGTGCTTTACCAAGCTTCCTCATGGCTGTGTCCTCCAAAGCCCTGTGGTGGTTTGTAGCCCCATGGGGTATGCTTGCTTTAGGTTTCTCTCTTATGTTGCAGACTGTTAGAAAGATACCAAAGGAAAGGCTTCCAAAGGTCTGCCAGCTCTTTATTCATTCACATTCTTTCCCCCTTCCCAGCCTTCACTTGACAATGAGCTAAATGGTCCAAAAGAAAACCAGTGCTATATATGGGTCCACTTGCCTTTGGTTGACTAAGGCTCCCAGGCTGAGGCTTGCTAGCCTGACATCTTTTCCCTTTGACGAGTCTTCTCTGCTTCTTCCTCGCCTTAGGCAATTGAACTCAGTGCTGAGTCCATTTCTCTAGGTCATGTTCAGGATAGAACCAAAGGTTGGACTTAATTTGTGAGCTTTCGCTGCACTGGAAAACTTTCAAGTCCTTTCACAGCCATCCTGAATTTTCCTGATGCTTGTGGTATTTTGATTACCACTGTCTCTTAGTGTTGAGAGGCTATGATGAACTATAGCTAAAACTGAGATGGGAAGATAGGTGAGCCTTTAATATCATGAAGAAAAATTGGGTCCATTTACTTTCCTGTCTTTATGGCTTATTACTTGAGATAATATATGAATAATCTATGGTAATATTATATCAATAATCCATGAAATATTACTATTTATTCCTGAGTACTCTTATGACCACTTAAACTTTATATTCATTTTTCAATCTGTATGTGAAGTAAAATATGGACTTTGTTAATAGAAATATATGAAACAAAACAAAGATTTTATATAGGATCTAGGTTTTAGAATCCCAATATGAGAGTTCCATAAAATTTTCCCCAAGAATTATAGTTAAACAATCCGTAAGCCAGAACTTGCAGGGCATTTGGATTGAATCTTGCTTTCTCTGACTAGTTTTTAGCACATATTTTGATTGTACTTACCCCAAAGAACATATTGTAATTGTATTAAAACCAAAATGGTCGCTTTTAATTTTACTACATAGAATATCAATGGTTCTTTAAAACCCAGAAACCAATAATTAACATTCTTTCTTGAAACCATATTTATTAACTTTCAGAGAAACTCTTATAATGGTTTATTTGGAAAAAAAAATACTAAAACCCATTTTAGTGCCAAAGATGAAATAGTATGGAGATCGAGTCACAAAGCTCTGGGGAATGCTCCACAGCATTCTGACTCCCACGGGCAGTGATATCATAATGTCCTACTTAGTCTTAAGACCTTCTGTGACACAGGAAGGAAGATCTGAGGAGAAGTCACAGATCGCTGGATAAATCACAACAATTTCCCAATGAGTTTTATATTTTTTATTTTTTTATCTGGGTTTTTTCCCTCAGGGATTAGCAACCTGAAAGCGAACATGGAAGGTGAGTAGACATTTCAAATATCACAGAATGGTAGATGTGAACGATGACCCTTAACCATGGAACACTGGTATGTGGCAGCTTTGTACAGGATGGTGTAAAGTTTATTGGGGGACATGGCATTACTTAGATTTTAAATCACTTACTCAAATTGTTTATGAAACATTGAGGTGGAAAGCAGAAAGTTGCAAAGGAAAGCAACATATTTCTGATCCATGGCGTGTTGTACGTTTTTTAGAGCTTCCTGAAGTGAATTCTTCTGATGAAGATTATTATAAAGAAGATGAAAATGTGGATAATAATATTTCCATAAGTGATGAAGGAAACAATGCTGAAAGTATTCCTTTTATACAACATGAAGAAGAAATACATATGGATACTACTCCTGCTAATGAGAAAACTGGCAATTATTACAAAGATATAAAACAATGTAAGACTTTTAAGTTAATAGCAATATATATTAAAAAAAACCTGCAACAATAGATTTTTAACAGCTTTGATTTACCTTAACTCTCCTTTCTAAATGCTCAAAATCTTTTGGTTGCCTACTTCTTAAATTCTGGTTTGCCATATACACTTTTCAGCATCTAAAATGAAATCCTTATTTTCCTACAGTTTATTTCCTGAGATGTTGAAACTTTAGCAGGATTCTCCTGGAGATTATTCTAATGACTGTAGTTCATCACAGCATTGTGGCTACTTACCTCATTTGATGGTTAGTTAAACAAAATGTATCCAAAGGGGTGTGTTGGTTCTATAAGGCTTGTGAAACAAAGTACCACAGTGAGTACTCATAGGCTCAAAACAGTGGAAATCTCTTCTCACAGTTCTGGAGGCTGGAAGTCCAAAATCCAAATATTAGTGGATCAAGTAAAGGCTCTCCCCAAAGCCACGAGGGGGAGGATCCTTCCTTTCTTCCAGCTTCTGCAGCCCAGGTGTGCCATGGCTTGTGGCAGGAAGTCTCTCTTCAGTCTCTGCCTTACCCTCTTCACAGGGTGTTCTTCCTGTGCCTCTGTGTCCACACTTCCTCCTCCTTGTAAGGACATCAGCCATATGAGTAAGAGCTCATGCTACTGCAGTTGTCTTCATCTTAATTACATCTGCAACAAAGCTGTTTCCAAATAAGGCTACATTGTGAGGTACCAGGAGTTAAGACTTCAACATAAGCTTTTTTTCGGAGGGGCTGGGAAGGGTGGACACAATTCAACCTATAACAACATTACTTTAGATGTTTGAAAGTTCCATTGAAATTCAGTTTTATAACTCACTATTACTTTATATGGGTTTCCTTTCTGCAATTTGTTATAAGGTGTACTATTCTAAAAAGTAAAAACTTCATAAGAAATTATTACTAAAACTAAAGAATAAGATCAAATTTAATTATTATGGGATCCTTATTAACATTAACCAAAGAACAACAGAAAAAATAATGAAGATATATATATATATATATGTGTGTGTGTGTGTGTGTGTGTGTGTGTGTGTGTGTATGCATTCCGGTGCTTTTTCGAAATTATAATCAGTAAGTTGTACTATTGTTTTCTCTTTTATTAAATACATCCCTAATCACAGAGGTGTGATAGCAGGAACAGAGGCAGGAGTAGTTCTAGGTGACCTCTGGAACACCTCTGCATATAGATATGCAGAACAGAAAAGTTCAAATACATCCTCTTCAGGATGTACCTCTTTTTGTACCAAACAGGATCTATAAATCAATTTGACAATTGGCAATTAATTGACAATTACTTTGATTTTAAAAACTCTGAAATTTTATACATAATATACACAAAACACAAATGAGCTTATACAAAGTACTTTTTTTATTTTAATAAGTTTTGGCTCTTTTAACATCTACCTCATTATTTTTAATGGATACATAGTATTCAATAAAATGATGTTCATTAATATATCAATTATCTCATTAGAGAACACTTAGATTATGTTCAATTCCCCCTAATATTCTTGATTATATTTCTCTTTGGCTAAAAGCTATATACTGAAATTGTTGAATATTAATGTCTTATCTTTTTAAATATTGGTAGATACCCCAAATTGCTTTGCAAAAAATTATTCACCAGTTTACATCCCCAAAATTCTCCACAATGAATAGCAACAATTATAATATTTGAATGTGATAAGTGACAAATATATTTTCTTTGCTTTTGTAATTTGCACTCTAATTATTTGTGTGATTGATATTTTCCTTAATCCTTAGTGGGTATTTTTAATTTACACATCTGTGACTTAACCTGTTAATATCTTGTTCATTTTTCTTAGTATGGATTTTCATTGATTTGCAAGGGCTCTTTCTATATATAGTATATTAACCTTATTTCTATGATAAAAGTATTAACAATTTTCTCCCAGTCTACTGCTTATCTTCAAAATTGAGTATCATAGAGAAAATTTTGAGTTTTATAAAATCAATTCTGTTAATTCCCTTATAATTCCTGCATTTTCTGTCTTGCTTAGACAGGCTTTATCTAATCCAAGATGTTATATTTTCCTAACTTTTTATAATAATTTCCAACTTTTGTTTTTAACTTAAATCTAATGATTTTTTAATATGGCATAATATATGTTAAGACATACTTTTCAAAGAGAAGAGCTGATTATCTAACACTGATTCTCTCCTTATGTGAGTCTCATATTTAATATGATCCCATTGTCATATGAAATTGGGTCCATTGTTGCTCTATGTATTGTTCTTTATCTGAATTCTCTGCACGAAAATACCAAAGTATTTCAATTTTTTAATTTTTCTAACTCATAATATGAATGTTGGCCTGTGATTTTCCCCATAGATCCACCTCAGAAATTTTATAACAAATTATGTATGTTAATGGTACTATCTTTTTCATGTTATATGCTTAAAGAAATTAATACATTATGTAAATATTAAACATGCACATGTATTTATGTGTGCTCAAAATTTTCTGTCATCCATGATATTTTGGAAAGAAGAAACACATGTTTATATATGTTCAGTTTGCAATTTTGCCCTAAATTATTTTTACCCCTTGGTTGAGTGAATATGTTCATTAGCTTTGAACTGTAACCAACCTGACAATGACACTTAGGGGGTAGCATTCTTTCTGTTCATGGGTAAATGGAAGTATATGTGGGAGACCTTATTTGTTGTTGATCCACTTGGTTTTTAAGCTGAAGTGTTTAATAGTCTCACAGAAGATACAAATGAATGTTTCTTCCTTGTTTTTTGATAATATCAGTACAAACAATGATTATATTGCACGTGTACAAATTTATTTTGGCATCTCTTCTGTACCAACACATATTTTTTTCCAAGAATTTCCTCAATAATTGTTTCTTAAAGACATTCAGCTTAAGCATACTATTTTGGCTTTTTTTCATATGAATTTTCTGTTTGACCCTGGCCCACTTTCATTTTGTTTTTGTTTTTTGCAGTTCTTGGGATTGAACGCTGGGCCTTGTAAATGTGAAGCAGGTGCTCTATCACTGAGCTAATTTTCTATTCCTGTTTTATTTATGTTGAAACAGGATCTCATTAAGTAGCACATGTTGACCTCAAAATGTAATTCTCACACCTCAGTCTCCCAAGTAGCTGAGATTCCTGCAGTGTATTACTGTGCCCTGTGTATTCCTCCCCTCATCCATCCTTCCTTCCTTTCTTTCTATCTTTCTTGAAGATGAAAAATGACTCAAATATTTTATAATTTTTAAAAATTAGTGAATGTGTTTTAAAGAAAAAAAATTCCTGTGAGAAAAAAATTTAATGAATAAGTGACTTATCTGTTTGCTGAAGACTTTTGATTTTATGTTTTCAGATGTGTTCACCACAAAAAATCCAAATGGTACAGAATCTGAAATAAATGTCACAGCAACAACGGGTCTGAGATTTGCTGTAAAGCACCGTAAGTCCTGAAAGTCACTGTTGAACATATGAAAGTTCTTAAAGCACCACAAGACACTGGTGTGTAGGAAAGAAGTCTTTGTTCCTAAACAGACTAAAATTCTCCCTCTAAAGTAGATGCTATGATGCAGGGATCCAGCTACTTCTGGGTTATCCTTTAGGTTTTTCTCATTCTTCCTCCCACTCTATATCCTTGAGGCTCAGGTCCATTGCCCTGAAAATTTCAAAAGGCAGAGATGCTCTTACAATTCTAAACCTCATATTTTGGGTCTGCAGGGAAAGGAAAATCAAATAACTGAATTGAGGATTATAGGAAATGATGCAACTTTCTTCAACCTACATTTTTGCTCCTTTCTACTTTGTAGACCTTCAAAAGCCTTCAACAGAGAGGAGAGAAGGATTCTGGCTGTGGCAGTTTCAACACTTGGAAAACCCAGACTGAAAAATGCCCGATTATAATTAGGCATTAGCAATCATGGAATATTTCTGAGCAATTCCAAACTTTGTGAGACAGTGACATTTCTGAGGCAAACATTAATTAGATACTCCCTCATAGGAATCTAACTTGTGCATAGCAAACATCTTGAAGTATGTGGGATAAGAACCAGATACCCATCTCTCAAGCAGTGCAGGTACCTCACAACCCCTCAGGATGTGTGCTACTGAGAGCCATAGGACACAAGAAAAAGCTATCCAAACCTAAATTGTATCCCCACAATCCAGGCCCCCAAGGGACTGTCACAAAAGTTGGATAGGGATAAGGAATTCCTGCAGTGTTCAAGGGGATTGTGATAGAGGAGACACTCTGTCATGGGAGGGATGCCCTAGAGGAGAGTCCCTGGAGGCAATGGAGATCTCCCTGATAACTTTGAAGATCACTGAATGAAGTAGAGATCCTAAAGCTGGCAGGGAAAGGGAATGCTCCTCTCCCAAGAAGAAGAAAATGATTGTCTAGCAGAGTTTAAAGATTCCTTACCATTCATTTGAGTCTCCCCTGAGTCAGCATCAACTCTAGTAATGGGTTTCCCTTTCCATCCTTCCTTGTCAGCAGGATACCTGAAAGGGGTTTGTGGGCTCAGGCTGGATTCATTCTGCCTCTCTGTTCAACTCCCCACTCCTGGGAAGGTCTGAACTCCATATGGAACTTGCACTGGCTCCTGCATTCAGCAGTTAACTAAAAAAAAGATTGCCAACTACATGGGGGAAATGGGCCTCCAGTCTCAATTGTTCCCACACCTGTCTCAGTGATGTACCTCCAGACAGACACATTATAGACTGAGATGGGTGCTGAATGAGGCCTGCCGATCCAATGTGCAGTCCCAAATCCTTTCATTCCAAACTGTTTCCAATTGACAAGGACACTCTCGGTGCCTCCTCTTCATGTCATCACATTGAACAACAACCAGGCTGCTCTGGACTGCAGCTGTCATTTTAAGGTTGTGCCTTGACCTTTGAAACCAAGTGTCTTAGCCAGTGATTTCCCAGACCTCCAGAGGAGCCTGGCCCCCTGGGCCTTGCTTTTCCTCTCTCTCAAGTTATAGGCATGTTAACCTCACCTCAGGCAGCCCATCATCCCCAAATCTTATTGCCTGGTCCTTTCCCCTCTGTAAGTTATTTCAGGAAAACTTTTTCTCTTCTATCTCTTCTCTCTCCTTGTCTATGTTGTATTTTTGCTTCAAAATATGCTTAATATCGTAGATGTTTATCCAATATTTTCATATATTGATAATTCTTTATCTCTCTTCCTAGGTAAAATTGCCAGGATAACAACTGAAGAAAAACACTTTCGTCGCAAAAGGCCAAGTATTAAAACTACTATATTGTATTCATATCTGGATCATGTCATATGATTTAAAATTATAATATTCACCACTCTGAGCATTATGTAAAGGAATAGCATGCTTAAAGAATTTATACTACTACATTTTAAAGTCACTATAAAATCTTTTAAGTGGTAAATGTCTTGAGTCAAATTTCAGATGTTTCTGGCAAGGAGTAGGTACTGGGATTTTTATAAATTTTATTTTCAAAAAGTGTTATGTTTGTATCTACATAAAATACATACTGCTAAATGAACGTATATTTATATTGTATAAAAGAAAACATTTACCAACTTAAAATATTTACATATATATCTGAGTTTTTATTTATATACATATCAATGTATTAGATATAACTTAATAATAATGTAAAAATCTACCTGCTTGAGGAAGAAATATATATATGATAGAGTCAATGATACGGGTTTCCTAAATTATTAAAGGAAAAGATATTGTGAGTGAAAGTTTACAAAATCAACACCACCACTTTACTTTTCTGCCAAGATTATTTTTCCTTAAGAAATATTTGTAAAATCATAACAATACAGGATGGGTCTACTCTAAAGTCTTGAACTAGGTGTCTAATTTAAGACAATGTATTCTTACTTATCATTTTTTTTCCTACAGAAACAACTCCAAATATTCCAGATTTTTGGACAATGTTAGCTAGAGGTAAATTCATATCATAGGCAGCTGGGAAAAAAGATTTGGTTCTCTAAAATCTTGTATAAGAAAGCCATGATTAGTCTAAATACGTACAGTGCTAAGAATAAGTCAATGTTTTGTTGCCATATGTAATAGCAGATGCCAAACAAACCCAGAGAGGTGCTAAAGAGAGTTTTTAATCCACTTCCCCAAAGGCTTATTCTCATATAGATGTTAAAATCTAGTTATTCAATTTAATTCATGATTAAAACTTTTAAATAAGGTTCTTGCACAATATAGGCCCTCTAGTATTTGCAACAGGGTGCACATAAACATACAGAGATGCTTGTAAACATGCAAAATATTTATCAAGATATATACATGCACAAAATTTATATGTATCATAATATATATGCACACCTGTCCAAATCAGTATATGCATGCATGTATAAATAAATGTATGTATGTGCACATGTAGTTATGTATATATACATGTATCACACAGATATACATGCATGCTAAATGTGAAATATATACAATATTCAGTCAATCCTCACTGTTTGTGCATTCTGTATTTATACTCTGTATCATCTACTCACCATGATACCTTTGTCACTCAAAATCAATGCTTTCAGAATCTTTGAGGCCATTTAGACATCAGCAGAACTTCATATATTTTTAATGTCCTGATAAGAACACTCAGTCATCCCTTCAGCTGGCCCCCAAGTGTGGTGTTAAACTAGCTGGTTAATTTTCTTTAATGCAAGAAGGCAGTGATGTGTCTAATGGAGAAAATGTATGTGGTAGGTAAGCTTTCTTCAAGCCAGAGTTATACTGCTGTTTACTGTGCAGAACATATTATCATGAATATTGAGAACAGGACCTACATCCTCTATAAACACATGATCATACACATATATTAATTTTACCTAGAGAATGTTATTTGCCATGACCATCAATTTATTGTTTTAACAGCTATAAATGGAACAACAGTGAGCATGGATGATAGAGATCAATTATTTCAACCAATTCCAGGTAAGAAGAGTACTTCAGTTAATAGATACATAAATACTCACATGTTTATTATCCCTTGGTGATACTATTTTCCTAGTAAAGTGTAGTGCAGGCAGGAGGGTGTCCTGGTGGCCAACATCACATGAAAGAGGACATTTCCTGTTTTAGAAGAGTAATGATTCCTGAATATTCTTCTTCAGTTACCAATTTGCAGACGAGTGCTTCATAGCTTCTATTACTGACCCAGAGAAACAAAATAGAGTAGTAGGTGAGTGGAAATACAGAGAAGGCAGTCTTAGAAAGAAAGAAAGAAAGAAAGAAAGAAAAGCTTTAATTGCAGAGGAATTTTAAGTTTAGCGAAAAATTTAACTTAAAGTACATAGGGGTCCCACATCCTACGCCTCTTTATTTTCCCCTATTATTAACATCTTGCATGGGTGTGTCACATTTGTTAAAATTTATGAAATAAGAGTATGATTGGCTAAAGTCCATAGTTTACATTAAGGTTCACGCTTTGTGTTTTACAGTTCTTTGGGTTTTGAAAAATGCATAATTTCATGTGCCCATCATCAAAATATAATACACAAGTTAGCTCTGTAAGAAACTACCAAACTGTCCTCCAGAGTGGCTGTACTATGGCACACTCTCACCAGTAATGAATGTGAGTTCCTGTTGCTGAATACACTTTACCTTAATGGAGTAATTGCATTTTTAAAACAACTCCTAATTTGAATGGACACTTTCATGAAAAAGCAATGTGTTAATTTTCCCCCAAATGCCTGTCCTACAAAAAATGATGGAAAAAGAAATATATCTGGTGATATATCCAAGACCTGTCACCCCAGTTCTGTACTGAATTATTTGAAGAATGTCACCATTTGCCTTGTGGTGCTTCAAGAAAATGGAGTGAGTCTTTTTTGTTTTGAAATGCTATCCACAGGGATCACTAATGCTGGGTCATTTTAAAAATGCATTATTGTTTCTTTAACTGAAGTGATTAAATGTGGCTTGATTGATTTTCTGTCATTTGCTGAGCACACAAAGGGTATTCTGGAGCTTTAGCTGCATTATTATGTCAATCCTCACAGCAACTCCATGAAGTTGGATTTATCTCCATTTTATAGAGAAAGAAACTGAGGCTTAGAGCAAAAACCTGTCCCACACCTGTAACTGGCTATTTCAGTGATTAGGAATTCCAAACTCTTCTCTGGTTCTGACCATGACCTTGATAAATGCACTATGAACAAGCCTCTTTAGAATGACTCTTTAAGGAGTCAGAAAAGCAACTTAGGAGAATTTTCCATTTTAACAATTTGTTGGATTATTCTCCAAACAATTGGTCTCAGAGTCAGCTAACAGCCATTGACTGCTCTCTACATCTCCTTCCACAGGGAAGAAGATTACACTTTGACCATTTTAAGTTTTATCAGAGAGCTCAGACATGGGAATTTGTTATTGCTTATTAACTATTACATAAAAGAAAGATCTTTGGACCATTTGGAATGGGGGTGGGAGGAACTGTGAAAAAAGGAAGTGACAACCAAGTTTATTAAGTCAGATGAATATTCAGGAAAAGGTCAGATCTGTCAGTAAAGAGGCATTTTTTATTACTAGTTTTAATAATTTTCTTCATGTCTCTGGATCCAGGCATCATTTTTTTGATTTAACTTATTTTTAAGAGTTAAAAAATGTTTGCATTTCTCGATGCACTGTCAAGTACATTAGATTTAGTCATCTCAGTAATTAAAGGCAAGCTTAGCCCTTAAACCTCATGGAGAGAGCCTACACACACCATCCTTTTATTTCAAAGAACAACCAGTACATGTTGCAACAACAGAACAACATCACCCTTTTCTTCTGAAACACTAGTGCCTTGTGTGTACATTGATCATATTAATAGTCATCTCTACAAAGATGATCAATTACTTTAACTGGTTTCCAGGAAAGTCAGGGAGAAAGTCTGCTATATACACATTTTGACATCTGGTAACCTGGATTTAAAGTCAGACTCTACCACTTACTAGCTGTGTGCAAGGGGAAAATTCATGAACTGCTGAGATCCTGCAAAATGGAGCTAAGGACAGCTCCTCCAAGAGTGCTGTGAAGGGTAAAGAGGAAGGAGTGCTTGGCGTGGGAAGTAGCCTTCTCTCTGAATTGCCTGTGGTAGAAGAATGAGCAGTGGACACTGAGGGTGGCATGGGGTTTCTCTGCATCTTCTACCATCCTCAATCTCCAGGGAAAACATCAAGAATTCACTCTTCTCCATTGCCTTTTTTTTCTTTCCTGTCAGAATCTGATGTCAACACTACAAAAATAAGCAAATCAGATGATCTAGAGGATATCAAGATCAAATTAATGCTGGGTATCTCATTGATGACCCTTTTCCTATTTGTCGCTCTCTTGGCATTCTGTAGTGCCACACTGTACAAACTGAAGCAGCTAAGGTAAGCTCACCAACCTCTGCAGTGTTTATAACTGATGCATGCTGTCAAGCTCAGTCCCTCCTGTCCTGGGTAAATTGTTAGCATATTGTAATGCCTGAATAATAGAGCTGTCAGTCTTTCAGCTTGACTCCATTTCCTCTATTCCCAAGGAGCATGGGGCCATCTCAGGCAATATCCTACTTGAACTTTTCCCCAATATTTTCAATCGTCAGCAATAGGGATGAAAAGAAAGCAAGGAACTGGGAGATGGGTGAGCAAGGAACTGAGAGATGGGCGAGCAAGAAATGAAAGACGGAGACCAGGCAGAGATCCATAGGAGAATTTGTCAGAGCTGACAAATAAAGGCCATCTCTCCATAGACGGAGAGAGGCAACACAGGCTTGAGTTCTGGGACTTTTATGGGGCAGGTTCAGGGAGGAGAGCCAGGTGGGTCATAATATAGGAGGTTAAGGGTGGGGTTGATATGAAGGAGTGGTGAGCCTTTCTCAGAAAGTCCCTTTGGGCGGGAAAGGGAAATTTTTCTTAAAATAGCAGCTGTCACTTAAAATGACTTATCCAGATGCTAAGCAAGAAACTTACAAGGAATATATATTTTCCCTTAATAGCAGATCTTCTTAGGGTTTAACATTTTTCACCAAAGCAAGCCTTGCCTGATACTCTTCGGAAAAGCAGATCCTCTGTCTCATTTATACTTTGAAGTTTATCCATTTGTTCCTCTGTCTCATTTATACTTTGAAGTTTATCCATTTGTTCTTTCTCATAAAAAAAAAAAAAATTCAACTAAAACCTGGGGCTGGAGTTGCAGCTCAGTGGCGGAGCACTTGCCTTGAAAGCCTGGGGCACTGGGTTCGATCCTTAGCTCCACATAAAAATAAATAAATAAAGATGTTGTGTCCATCTACAACTAAATTTTTTTTTTTAAATCAACTGAAACCTGAATAAGGGGCTTGTTTTTTAAATTTTCATTTATACAGTGTGACCGATTATTTTCAAAAATCCTAATAGAATTGTTTCATGTTCACAGTTAACAGTAATTCTTTTGATTATTGTATTTTTAATAAATCATATTGAAAGACCTAAGCAACCTCATTTTACTTGGGACCTCATTTTGCTCTGAAACTTAACCCCTGACCTAAAGTCAGGACATACTACAGAAAGCTCTGTGCAAACAGTTCTCTTGGAAAAGCCACAGATGGTGATTGCCTAAGATAGGCCAAGATATTGAAATATCTGAAATTCCAGATGACCCCCCACCTAGGTGGGGTGACCAATATCTAAACCAGAAGTCCTTCAGCTTGGCTGTACCCCCCTTGGGACAACCCTCATGGTTTAAACCAATCATTTTTAAGAGCATCAACCCCTTGAACTAACCAATATTCCTTTCCAGATTCTTTCCCACCACTTGATAGGCTAATCATGTTTTAGAGTTGTTATTTGATTTTCCTGCGGTGTGTGATGATTTGCTAAGAGATGCTATGATGTATGTGAAGTCCCTGCCTTCCCCAAAGAGTGTATAAAACTGCTGTAAATCCTGGGCTCGGGGCCTCTCAGCATCAGCAGCTGTTGTGTGTGCGGAGGACCGAGCTAGCTCGCAATAAACACCTCTTTGCTGCTTACATCGATCTTGGTCTCTGGTGGTCCTTTGGGGGGTCCAGAACTCAAGCATATCATTGGGGGCTCTTCTGGGATCCCCCTTATAAGCCTACCCAGACATCTCGATTGAGAGGTGATGAAAATCCGGCCGGTAAATTAAGGCATTGCTGATGTGTAATTTTCGGTACTCTGGTTGCCTGCAGGTTTTGGTTCTGTATTTTCTGGTCGGCAAAAGGTCCTGGTGGACGCACTATAGGGCCGCTGACGGGGGATTGTGGGAGACGTCCCTAGCCCCTTCTGGGTTCTGAGTGGATCGCCCTTTACTAAAGGCGTCTGTATTTTGTAGCTGACAGATCCTCCATCTGCCTCTGCTTTTAGTCTCAGTTTAGCAATCCACACAGCCCTGTGCATTCTGTGTTATCTGTGTTTGTTTCTATTGTCCTGTCTGCCTCCACCTTGACACCCCGGCAAGGGAACTAATCCCCCTCAGAATTTTTGCAGGTCGTAAGCCACCAGGGGAGTCCAATGGAAGATCTACTCTGCCTTCTGAAATCCTCTTTGAAATGCTATGTGAGGCATTTGCTGTCTGTCTGTGTTATAATCTTGATTTGGGGAATAGCTGTAGCTGTTTTCTCTTTCCACTTAGACATGGGACAAACTCAGACTAACTCCTTTGACCATACTGACTGACCATTTCACAGATGTTAGGGAAAGAGGACATAATTTGGGAATAGAGATAAAGGAAAGAAAGCTAGTTACTTTGGGGTAACTACCGGAGGGGACCTTTGACAAAAGTGCAGTCCTCCGAGTAAAGAACGTCATTTTTCGCCTGAGAAGAGAGGGACATCCATAACAGATCCCTTATATCTTAGGGTGGATGGACTTACTTGAGGACCCCCCTAATTGGCTAACTCCCTTTTTACATGTGGCACATGAGGCCAACATTTTTGTGGCAAAAGAGGTTGATTCTAGGCCACGAACCCCAGTACCTACCCAACCGTCAGCCCCCCGCCCGTATCCAGTCCTCCAAGGGGGCAAGGACCCGCTTCTCTCGGAATCTGCACCCCCTCCCTATGTGCCCCCCCAACCAGCCCGATGAGGGGGGTGCAGAGGGAGGAGCAGGAAGAGCAGAGCAGATGGGGCACTGGAAAGACCAGCAGTGGGAACCGGAGGGGGAGCCCAACGCGCCTTGTCCCCTGCCCAATATCCTGACACCACCCCGGTCTTGCCCCTCAGGGAGATAGGGCCCCCTGACAAGACCGAGAACCCTAGACTTCAGTATTGGCCCTTCTCCACTAGTGATTTATACAATTGGAAGAATCAAAACCCCCCATTACTCTGACAGCCCAAAGAGTTTAATCTCTCTCCTGGATAGTGTTATGTTTACTCACCAGCCTACCTGGGATGATTGCCCAAAATTGCTCCGCATTCTCTTCACCACGGAAGAAAGGGAAAGATGATATGCTCGAATTCAGGACCCCTAAAAGACCACCAGAGACCAAGATGGATATAAGCAGCAAAGAGGTGTTTTTTGCGAGCTAGCTCGGTCCTCCGCGCACACAACAGCTGCTGATGCTGAGAGGCCGCGAGCCCAGGGTTTGCAGCAGTTTTATACACTCTTTGGGAAAGGCAGGGACTTCACATACATCATAGCATCTCTTAGCAAATCATCACACACCACGGGAAAATCATAAAACAACTCTAAAACATGATTAGCCTATCAAGTGGCGGGAAAGAATCTGGAAAGGATTATTAGTTAGTTCAAGGGGTTGATGCTCTTAAAAATGATTGGTTTAAACCATGAGGGTGTCCCAAGGGGGTACATGCCAAGCTGAAGGACTTCTGATTTAGATATTGGTCACCCCACCTAGGTGGCAGGGGTGGGGGGGGTGCGTCTGGAATTTCAGATATTTCGATATCTTGGCCTATCTTAGGCAATCACTGTCTGTGGCTTTTTTTCGAGAGAACTGTTTGCACAGAGCTTTCTGTGGTATTTCCTGACTTTAGGATTGCAGTTGGTCAGGGGTTAAGTTTCAGAGCAAAATGAGGTCCCAAGTAAAATGTGGTTGCTTAGGTCTTTCACATATATTTCTTTAGTCCATTAAAACTCTGATGCTAAGTATTTAGTCCCTCTAATTCCATGTCATTTTACATGTTTCTTATTACTCTTTAATTAAAAAAATTATTTTTTCTTTTATTTAGTTGTACTGGTAATTCAGTCCAGGGGCACTTTACCACTGAGCCATACCCCAGCCATTTTTATTTTGTATTTTGAGACAGAGTCTTGCTAAGTTGCCCAGGCTGGCTCCAAACTTGTTATCCTCCTGCCTCTGCCTCCCAGATAGCTGGAATTGCAAGCATACAGCACCATTTCCATCTTATTAAACTTTTGCTAAGGCAAACTTCATTGTTTCAGTAAATAGGTTTCTACATTGTAGTCTTAAGGTTTAAAAATGCTTCATCTACATAGGCTTTAAATATAATAAGATTAATATTAAAGAAAAGCTATATCATTTACATACTGTTATTAATGAACTAGTACATTGGACAATTATATTACAATTCAATTATATTTTATTTCTTATAAATAAAATATAAATGAATTATATTGAATTAGTTACAAATGTGCACACTTAAACACAATTTTTGTTATCTGTTCTTTTTTTTTCCAGTTATAAAACTTATGACAGTCAATACTCCATCAACCCAGAGCTGGCAACCCAATCTTACTTTCATCCGTCAGAAGGTGTATCAGATACATCTTTTTCTAAGAGTGCAGAAGACAGCAGCACATATTTGTATGCCACTTCTCCAGAGCTGAAACCATCAAGAACAAGGATATCAAAATCTAAAACCATAACAGATGTGGTTTCCACATGCTCAAATGATGCAGGCTTAATTGAGGCATCATGTTTACTAATTAACCGTGAAGAGTTGTGTGAGGACAGCCATGAAGAGAAATAGATAACTTTAATACTTTTGTCATAAAAAAAGATCTTTGTGTCTCACATTAATGTCACCATTTTGAAATTGCTGAGACATTTAATTTGTTTTTCCATTTTATCAGACTGAGATCTGGGCTGCTCACCACTTGAAAACCAATTTTTATTTGGTGAGAGTTGGTTGAAATGAATCAGGTTTACTAGATGTCCAGCACTTTGAAAGATGGTGGGGCCTACTGTCCTCAAAGCTCCATCTTAGGGGATCCAGGGAATAAAGTACTTTTATAGGAAAGAAAAGGCAGGCAGGGGCAGAAATGCTATATGTTGAGTGAGGTCCTTTTTTAAAACTATTTTTAGTTGTAAATGGGCACAATACCTTTATTTATTTTTATGTGATGTTGAGGATCAAACCTAGTGCCTCACTTGTACTAAGCAAGTGCTCTACCATAGAGTTACAACCCCAGCCCAGTGAGGTCTTTATTATCCAGGGCATGTGTTCACTTTTTCCTTCTTCTCTGAAACATTGCAATGGACCTCAAACTCCTAGGGGCTAATTCTTATAACTCTTTTTAGACAAATGTTTCTTTTATGCAAATTTGCTGGGAGCCATTAGCCAAGTAGGTATGACAATTTCCTTGCCAGCGTACCCCATGTTGCTGACATGTTGCAGCGACATTGAATGTAGGTGACCTTGCTCAAGGACCAAGGCAGATTAGGGTGTTCCCGGTTTAAGATAATCCTGTTTAGGGCGTTCCCAGTTTAGGTTCCAGGTTTAAGGTTTAAGATTATTCCTCCTGGGAATAGGGCGTATCCTGCTGCCTGAGTTCCCCTTGAGTTCTCACGGGATTCAGACAGTATATTTTGGAGATAGAAGCCCGGTGGAGGTGGATTTGGGCAGAGAACGTGGATTTGGGCAGAGAACGTGGATTTGGGCAGAGAACGTGGATTTCCCCAGAACGTGATTGTAGACGGCTGGTTTGAGTTCGGGAATAAAGAGTTGCTGTTTGAATCTACAAGCTGTGTGGTGGCTCGTGATTGTGTGCCCAGCCAGACTGCGGCATTTGTGCCCAGCCAGACAGTGGCACAAATTAGTCCTTATAACCGTGTATATATGCTTTGCTTTAGTTGATGCATAGAATTAAAAGAACCAGGAGTGGCATTGTATATTTTCCTATTATCTGAAAGTAACCAGATGTTCTGGTCTCTGTAAATCTAAAAAAAAAAAAAAGATTATATAGCAGTTAACATCTTAACCCCATTTAGTTGGGGTTATTCTTTAGAATTTAGAATGCCAGGGGAAAAGGATGAGATGTCAAAAGAATTAAAGAGGGGAAGATACCTTGCAAAAAGAAAAAATCAGAGAGAGTAAGCAAAAGTAACTGTCAAGGACAACTCCCAAGGAGTGGTCACTGTTATGATTTCCCACTGTAGATCCTTCATTACATTTCTATGGAAAGTAGGCCTTTGACTCAATTCTGGTTACTTCCTGCTGAATGCAGAAGAATGGAGATTTTTGGAATAGAAAGCTTTGACATGGTGAAATACATAATTTTTGTTCTCATTTATTTTTCCTTATGGAAAGGGTTGTTCTGTACAAGGTATTCATTTGCATAGTTTTTGTAGTATAATACAATAAATCCTTATGTAGGCTCCCATTATTATTATTAGGGGTGTTAAACATTCTTCAAGGATGGATCTGTTCTCAGATGGCATCTAAGAAAATAAATTTGAAAACAAGTCTACTCCTTGTAGAAAAGAAGTTTTATATTCTAAAGTCTTTGGTAGTCAAGTAGCCTGTCATCTAATTTTATCAATGCTCATTTCTACTTAGGATGAAATATCAATGTATAAGCACAGAATGTATTCACAATTTTCCAGCATCCCTGTCCACAACTTTATCATTCTTTTACCAAGGAATCATCAGATTCCTTTAAGTTAGCAATATACTCATCATCACTTATCTTAGTTATACTGTTCTTTGAATATGTATTTTAAGATTCTCTGCCAAGGTATAGTTCCAGGCAGGATATGGAGAAAAGGGGCAGATGTACTTTCCATTGGCAGAGCTCACTTGACTCTAGAGCGATGGACCCCAAGGCTTTACTCCTACAAGCTTGCCTCCAGGATGGAAGGGGCAGAATGGCTGATCCATCAGGTGGGCAAATCTTGAAAGAGCAAAGTGACATGAGGTCATTAATATCTGCCCCAGCCGTCCTACATATTGTTTAATCCCAGATTCATTTTCTAACTTAAAAGATGAGGCACCTATCATAAAGGTTAGAAAAGAACTTATATACAGAATTTTAAAGGGCTTAGTTTAGGCCCACATCAGTGTGCTGCCCTAATTTGGAGCGAAGAAATAGGTAAAACCTTATCCCATTTTAAATGAGTCTATTGACAAAGTTTAGACCAAGTCCTTTTTAAGGTATGATTCATCTTTTCTGTTTTTCTCTGTGGATTACAGTCTCCATAATGAATATTGTTTCCAAGTTATTTGTAAACCTTTACTCACTTTTGGGGTGACTTTAGCGGCAAACGATGGTCCATTTTTACTTTGAATTAGCTTGGGAAGTCCAAACCTGGGAATGATTTACTTAAGCAAAAATTTAATCTCCTTAGTTATCGTCTTAGTTTTAATAGGATGTGCTTGTACCCTGCCTGAAAATGTATCCATAAATACTAATAAAATTTTTAAAAGACTCAAAGTCTATTTGCCTGCGTTCAAAGGGACATAACCCTTTATATCATATTCACTACTCCATCTACTTCTGATATATGAGATGTGTTCAGTCTTTGGATTATTTTTAACACATAAATGATTTCCTTGAGTGACCTTATCAACTGTCTTGTGAAGATGTTGAAGAGAAAGTAAGGAACGAGACACAGGTAAGCAAGAAATCAAAGATGGAGACCAGGCAGACATACAAACAAGAATTTATTTGTTAAAGGTGACAAATATGCAGGAGGCTCAGGAATCAAAGCCAGGGCAAGTCCTAATGCCTGTGGTTAGGGGTTGGGTTATATGAGGGAGTGGTGAGCCTTTCTCAGAAATGCCCTTGGGTGGGAAAGTGAAACTTTTTCCTTAAAATGGCCATCTAGATGCTAAGCAAGGAGGTGTGGACCTTTCAAATAAGGCCCTATTAAATCCATCAGTACATTTCTGCCATAATCTGTCCCTTCATGAAGGTGTTTTAAAATTGAATATGCCAGACCTTCAGGGAGTAAACTCATCCTGTGGTTATTAATTTTCCACAGTTAAGTGTGAATTCATATCAGTGAAGACACATTCTTGGACTTCTTTAGCAGTTCTATCAGAATTCTGATTTTCTCTAGTCATGTGGGGATCACTGTTTTGGTGTCGTGGGCAGTACCTAATAGCCCATTGGGATGGGAAAGCAGTTGCCTCTATTAGGGCCAGAATTTCCATCAGATGTTTGATGTCCTTGTTTCCCGAAGTTAATAACCTTTTCTCCTTCCGAGTAGTTCTATGTGTGTATACTATCATAAAGGCATATTTGGAGTCAGTATAGATGTGTACTTGTTTTCCTTGTGAAAACTGTAAAGCTCTAGTGAATGCAATAATTTAGCTTTTTTGTGTACATGTGCTGATCAGGAGAGCATGGACTTCTAGTGCCTTATGCAGTGACACTACGGTATATTCAGCTCAGTATCATTCTTTTTCCACAAAGCCGCTCCCATCATTGTGATACCACCGGTTACCAGTGACGAATCCTGCTTCCCCACGTGTTGAAGTTTGAACATTAGAGAAGCACGCCAAGGCAAGCATATGTAGCAGGGTTTACTTAAAAAGGGGTAACATAGACTTCTCCCGGGAGAGAAAAGGGAAGGGGGCCATAGCTGGTATCATGCTATCCCAAGAGGAGAGGTGTTCTGCCTTTTTATATGTCCTAGGCTTCTTTTGTTCTCCTGCCTTTTCCCCCCTTCTCCTTCCTGCAAACGTGACTAGGCCCAGGAATGCTCGGTGGGATGGCCCAAAGCTGAGAAATAGGTAGGCTGAGGGGGGAAGGGCAGGGTGAAGTAGCTAAGGACACAGAACAACCTTATAGTTCCCTGTAGGGAGAGGAAATTCCTGGGACAGGTTACCTCGGCAATGGGTTGAAGTAGGGGCAGGTTCTTGATAAGATCCCTCAGGGGACAGTCTCCAACTTCCCAGACTCACTCAAAATTGGCCTCCTTGATCAACCTGACTCGATTTACCTATCGACACTGACTGCCTGTCTAATTCTGGCTTCAATTGTATAGTTCACATTTATGAGATGTCAGTGGTTGGTTTGATAAAATCCACTCTGCTGAAATAGACTGCATCAAGAATTTTTAGACAGTTGTGTTTCCAAATCAGATTCAGTTTCTGTTATTTGGGAGCAAGGTGGCTGGATTTAGGGCTGCAGTAGCTCTCAAGACAACATTTGTATTATTCAGTAAAATAGCCTGATCTTTGCTATTTGCCCTGTCTCCATGTTTAAGAAATTTCTGTAATACTGGCTGAATTTCTTTGAAAGCTTCCTTTTTGAGAGGGTACTGTTCCTTATGTGGTATAGTAGCTCCCTCTATTAAGTCATTATTTACCAGTTGTGAATGTATGGCTCAACCTACGGGCTCCTTCACCCACAGAGCTTCACTGAATTTCTCATAGACCTCAGGGGAAAAGGATTCTTGTTTCCTTCTCCGGGTGAGAGGAAGCAGCTGCTGTAAACCTAGAGCTTGTTCTGGCGAGAAGTGCTTTTTGAAGAGAAAATCACTTCAGTGTTTAGTTTGCCAGCAAATTCTGTCCTAATAATGGAATTGAACATTCTGGCAATGCACCGAAAACCGTTTCAATCTAAAATTCCATCGCTGACATTCCATAGGCCAGAGGATAGGCTTTTGTTGCATTTTCCCTGCTATGCCTGCAATTAATACTGTCTTTTGACTATTCAGAGTGTCTTCAGTATCTACTAGAATGTCAATCATTTGGTTCCCCTGTACCCAGGACTCCTGTGGGGAAATTACAGTCAGCTCTGA